TATTTATATCACATATTCATAAATGTACGCATGGTTCTTGAAAATAATAATGGAACCATATATCACGAATTTGAAAATATTTATATACTTACAATTTTATGAAATTGAGATGCTTGTAACATATTTAACTTTGTATGATTGTGATCAGGGAGTAGGAAGAACAATATTAATAAGAACAGGAATTGATACAAATATGAATATAAGCTTCGAATCCTTTGTATCTGGTAAAACTTTAAAAGGGTCTCTTTTTGGAGGACTCGGCATCAAATCTGATCTTCCCATTTTACTTGATAAATGCATAAATAAGGTTTGTTTATATAAATGCAAGTTAATTTAAAGTTTTAATTTTATTAATTTTATATGTCTTTGCATATCGTCAATAGATTTCATTACTATTACTTATTAAATAATGATATTTTACAGGAAATACCATTAGATGAACTTTTGAGTCATGAGATCTTGCTGGAAGATATAACCAAAGGATTTGAGTTATTGAAGCTTTCCAACTGTGTTAAGGTTCTTATTAAAATTTGATTTTATTTAATTGATATTGTCCACAAGTTAGACGACTCTTTGTATTTACTCTTACTTCTTCAAAACATTATGCTCATTCGAGTATAAAGAAATGCAATTGTATGTTGTTCATTGTCAAATTTGCTCGAGCAAGACAAATGAAATATGATCTCATCTTGAAAGAGATTGGTAGAAAATTCCTTTCCCAAATCTTTTAGCCAGTACCTCTCAAACACGTAGTTATTCTTTGTATCATTGATTCCCTCTACATGGTTGTTTTTTTTTTATGCACCATTATCATTTATGATAATTACTTTGTATTTTTATCTCCATTTTTTGCCTAAGAACAAAATTAAATTTACCCTCCATTTTGTCTTTATTTTTCCATTTGAAAAATATTTTGTAACAAAATAGATAAAATAAAAAGTGTTTTTACTAAAATCTAAAGACAAAATTTTCTTTTGATAGGTTTAAACATAAAGTTATAATTGGCAATTTTTAAGAAATGATTTTGGCTTTTAATACGAATTTGTACTTGAAATCTCAAAAGTTATTTTCACCAAACAAACATCTACTTTTTTTAAAATGATAATACTTTTTACGGCTATTTCTACCAAATACCAACGAATTTTTGACTAAAATCATTTTAACTTAATAAATTTTTTGAAATTCATAGCATAGTCTATAACTACCTCAAATGCCCACTTATTTAGCTGCCTTCCAAGAATTTGAGAAAAGTAAAATTTTTTCTCCTAAAGGTTTTTTGAATTCCCATTAGTTTTATAAAGAAGATATTATTATGTTTGAAATATATCCAAAAACCTTCTTTTTATATATTCACAAACACATGTTTTCGTGGTAGGATATATTTGAAACTCTATTAGAGTGTAGTACTTTATCAAATAGCTTGAATAAGCCAAGTAATGTTTTTATCATCAAACTAGATTCTGGTAAGAGATGGAATCTTGATTCCTTAAATGTCTTCCAACCAAGTTCGTTTCAAGCTTATTCAAACTTGACGAAGTCCTCTTTTTGTCAAGTTTTTTTTAGCCATCTACATAGTATCTCTTTTAATAAACCAAACTCAAAATCGAAAAAGTAAGTTACATTCAAGTTTTGAGTCGAAATCAATCCTGACAATGCTCATATAAATTGAGCCAAAATATTCATGTATCTTATTCCGTACAATTCATTGTTACCCTATTTGTCATACTCCATTTTCAACTAGAATTAATTTAAAAATTTTACGATTTGTATTATTTTTAATGCTTATGTGGAATTTCTATTG